TTCATCAAAATCATGGAAATTATCACCGTGTGAGGCCAACCAAGAAAATCAATTCCAAGGAAAAAAAATAACCATCAAACAATGATAAAGTGGAAGATGAAATTTGTTTTCCATTTTTCATGGAAAATTTTGCACAATCAAACGGGCCTTGATGAATTAAAATATATAATATAATGCTCCAATGATTTTATCATACAATTTTACTTTATCTTTTTAGCTTTTTATCTTTCATTATAAACGATGTTTATATTCTCTTTGATTCCTATCAATCAATCAATCAATCATAGATGTAAAATGAAACACATTCATTAAAAGGTAATTTATTGAATCTTAAAAAAACTTTACATGGAATAATGTAGACGATATCTATGACTTTGACCCAAAAGTTGTAGTCATTAATGTTGAAATAGTTAATTATTTAAAACTTGATTACTAACTATTAGTATAATTTTAGTTAACAAGAATAAATTCGTAAAATCTTGGTATAGTTAGAGGTGTGATGAACCAATTTGATTTGACTTATCTTTGCCAAGAATCATAGTCATGAAACTCAATAAGTTTTATAGTTACTGCAAGCCAAATCTCATGGTATAATTAGAGGTGCGATGTACCAATTTGACTGTAGCTGATTGTAATTATCTTCTTGGAACTCAATATGAATGATAGTTTCTGCCATCGATATTACGCGATCTATCCAAAACACAACTTTGTCGAATGGGTGAAGAGTCTGACCTATCCCAAGTTGTCTCACGTCTCTTGGCCAGTCATCCAGTCCAATACTTCTCATTTTCCTTTTAGTTAGTTTTCTAAAGAAAAGCAAAAAAACTAGAATAGTCTAAACGAGCTCACGTACATGGAGATTCATATGGATTGCGGGGGCTTAGTGAGTCAACTCAGGGCACAACGCCCCCGGTACCCGTGGCCCTACTATGACTATTCTAGTACAATTAGTCAAAGCACAAAATGATGTTATAAAGGGAAGGAATCAAATTCAAAGGAAAGGGGGATATGTTTAACCATTTTCCAAGTAAACTTTACATAATTATAAAACGTTTGCTAGTTTCATCAACCTACCACCGACCGTAACGGTCAATACATTTTACATAACTTTTTTTTTGTAATTAATATACATTTTACATAAGAATATTTTATAATTAGTTTTACATTTATAGTGAATTACAACATGTAAAAAAATGATTTTGTGTATGAAGAAATAAACATTTTTAGCACACAAAAGAAATGTGATCAATTTAATTAAAAAATTTTATTTTAAAATATATGTCACTTAATCCAAAAATAATAAAAAATACTATTACTAGGGTGGGGATTCGAGCTTCTTGATACTAATTAAACACATTTTGTTGATGTTGAAACTCATCACACTCTCTATATCAACTTTGAGGGTGAAGAAGGTGGATCTTCTTCTTGGTTTGTATGACAACAATTGGCTAGTGGAAATAACCATTGGGAGAGGATTGGTTCTAATACGACAATCAAGTCAAGTCCGATCATGAAAGTATGTGAAACTGTATATAAATACGATATTTTCTATTATGTATTCTTGATAGAGAAGAAATTACTTTTTTTGGAGATGATTTGTAGTTGGTAATGTTACTAGTCTTCTAGTGGATAGCCTATTGTAGTTATATGCTATGCGCTTCGACCATAGATTTTATACGAGTTTCATTTAATTTAACCATTGGTTATCAAAGAAGTTTGAATGAAGAGACATGTGGCAAGTTGTTAGGGGTCACTTTAGTAGCGCTCAAGAGAAATGCTTGAGTTACAGTCTTTTTACACAGCAACTTACACAGCCCTCTCACATCGTGTGAGACCCACACCATGTGAGAGGGCTGTGTAAAAAGACTGTAACTCAAGCATTTCTCTT